ACCATCCCTCCCAAATCCACATCATCCCCTGTGACACCTGGAGATGCTGGCTTCCAGTGACTCTCACCAAGGTTGCTACTACACTTTGTTGATGATGACCACAAGTGAAAGTCTTACCTATAGGAAAGTATGAATTACAAATATTTTTCTAGCCATGTTAAATTTACTGTTTGGAATTTTTATAGCACTAACACAGAACAGCACATCTTCTGTAGGGGAGGAAGACATTTACTCTACATGCTCAGGGTTCTTCTAGCCAGAGAATGAATTTAATTCACATGAGACAGAATAACAGCAGAAAATTAAACAAAGCTTTATAACATGTATACATGGGAGAGGCTCAGGCAACCTGAGCAACTCACCAAAATGGCTGAAGCCACCACCTTAAATATCATTTTCAGCTAAAGACAAAGGAGGATGTTGGGGGTGGGGGGGAGTCAGTTACACGAGGTTACCGGACAAGTACAGTAAACAAGAGTAAGATTATTATGCAGATTTAAGTCCTTGCCTTCTACATTGATGAGAGTTTCTAGAGATAAGGTCATCCCCCCTTCTTCCTGGTACAGAGAGGGAGATACATGTACAGATGGAGATTTCCTTTACAATGTAAATGTCTCCTAACAAAGAGTAAGTAAATTCTACTTTTCAGAGTTTCTTTCCTGTCTGCAGTTTTTAAAAGTAACCAGCCCCAGGGGCTGGCCCCGTGGCCGAGTGGTTAAGTTCGCGCGCTCCGCTGCAGGCGGCCCAGTGTTTCGTCGGTTCGAATCCTGGGCGCGGATATGGTGCTGCTCGCCAGACCACGCTGAGGCAGCGTCCCACATGCCACAACTAGAGGAACCCACAACGAAGAATACACAACTATGTACTGGGGGGCTTTGGGGAGAAAAAGGAAAAAAAATAAAAATCTTTAAAAAAAAAAATCAGAAAAAAAAAAAATAAAAGTAACCAGCCCCAAAATAATCCTCATGACAAAGAGATATATCTTGGGGTGGCCAATTCCAGTTTCCCACACTTCCAACCGTGTATTTTCCTGAGCTCTGTAGGCCATGCAGGCAGGGTGCATTCCTAGAGTGTATTCTTTCTCAGTGTTTACTAAACTTGCTTTCCACATGCAACACCATCAGGGAGGATAGGCAAGGAGCCATGGTATGAGAGAAAAGAGGGGTCTCATTGTCCCAAGGAATGTCCCTCCCTCATCTGGCATGGCTGAAGGCCAACCCTGGAGAGCACAATGTTACTGCACTGATTTGAGGCAAGAGAGGGCATCTATCAGAAGGACCCGTTGCCTAACACAGCAATGATTTTGAAAGTCCTTGGAAGAGATAGGACAGTCACCCCTGGAGGATTGCCTGACACAGGGGTACAGAGCCTGTGGAGAGTGTGTGGTGAGTATTCTGAGGGCCGGAGGCCAGGGTCACATGAGAAGGATGCCTGCTGCCCCTCACACCCTTAGGTACTATAGAGCAGAGAGGACACATGGAACACAGGTGGATGAGAGCAGACACATGGGCCCACATACATGGCTTGAGCTGAAGAGTTGGCAGTGGGCCCTTGGTAGCTCAGAACTCTGAAGTTCTATGAGTGACATGAGAGTCACCCACAAAGGAGAACATCAGTGACATTCTGGCAGCCCAATCTTATGTGATTATGCTATTTAATATCAGTGAAAGAAACCTTGTGCCAGCCAGTAAGAGTGACTCGATTAGTCAACTGTCCCCCTAGAACTCAAATGCTCCACAGGCAAGAGTTCTAGAGCTACTTAGATGTCTGGTCAACCCCTACTGCAACTTGGGGATGAGTGGAAGGGATGAGGAGTGCACTGAGTGGGAGAAACAGGAACCAGGGACCACACTAATTATGGTCCTGCCACCTGACAGTCCCAGGCACCAAAGAACTTAGAAAATTTAGAGGAAGGTCCTCTGGAGCATGGCTTGCAGGATCTGAAGGTGGTACTGTCAGGAGGCTCCTTCCAGTTCCATGGTCCCATGATTCAATTCTTCATGCCTTAGTTCAGCCTCTGTTGTCGGGCCATTTTGAGATAATACAGCAAAACCTAGTGACACACATATTTGGGGTTCAAGGCCCCTCCCCAAATTTAATCAGTTTAATAATGATAAGTGCAGTGGGTTTGTCCAGATAGCAGGTGTCCCCCTGCCCTTGACACTGTCATTTTTATGAAGCGTTCCAAGTCCTCTGGAGAGCTGGACTAAGACTCATTATTGGAAATTACACTTCAATTCCACATCAACAGACACAACCTAAATTTTATTTGTAATTCTCAAACCAAGTGCCTGAGGGGAAGTGGGTTGCCAAATAAGCTTAAGGAGAGCTCCTTTCTCAGCCAAGCCCTTCCCTAGGCCAGGTGCGTCTTTCCTTCAGGGCAGGGAAACCTGCAGGGCCAGGCAAGTTTACTAAGAAGGTAGGTGACAGAATCCTAGGCTAGAAGGGTGCTCATGGTCACTCAGGGCAGAATCATGGACTGTTAGATGTGGGAGGGGCCCTGGACACCAGCTAGGTTAGCCCTCAATGTGTGGGCCTGGCCCCCAACCAGACTGCTCCCTCCAAGGACTCAGTAGTCCTGACACTCATCCTCAAGATCTTGCCCTGTCAGCTCCTTCTCAAGGCAAGTCTTCCTGACCCTTCAGGCTAGACTAGGCTTCCATTTTATACTTAGGTTGCTCTGTACTCTTTCCTTCTTAACATTTATCCCAACTGCAAAGAACTCATTATTTGTGCAATAATTGATTAATTCTGACATCTTACCATGCGGGGGTACTGTGCCTGATTTGTTTTCAGTTGTTGCCTCAGAGACAAATTCCGTTCTTTGGCGTGTAGTTGGTAGGCTTTCAAAAAATAGTTGTTAACCAAATGAATGAATGTGGTAGGAAAAAAATGAGTGTGTTAGACCTGGATTCACCATCTTTTCTGGGTGACATTTTGCTGCACCTCTTTGGGCCTCAGTTTTCTCTCTCTAGATGGTGGGTATGGTAGAATTTGTATTGCAGACATGTTGAGAAGATTTATGCAACTGGCCAGCAGCAACTGCTCAATAAATATTAATTCTTTCTTCCTTCTTAGAGTTGAGGCTGGAGATTTCCAGATCCCTTTCCTTTCATTGCCACATTTCTTTAAAGAGGAGCTCACAATTCAGTCTGCCCTGCTTCTTCCATTGGCTTCCCAACCCATCTCAGTCTGGCCCCTCCCTCATCCTTCTCTGAGTCCCTCTCCAACTCACTCATGACCTCTACTCACCTTCTCTTGGTCTTTGAACAATAAAGAGTTGGTAAATGATTGATCAAGAATGCCTTGGGTGGAGACATCTCAGCACCAATGACTTTAAGCCATTATGACATACTGCCCAAAAGACCTCTTTCAGGCCCTAACCCATCACTTCTCAAAACCTTCCCCCTGGCTTCTGGAACACCATCTCCTGTTTCTTGCACTGACTCTCAGACTCTTCCTGCGCTGACTCCTTTCCCATCCCCCATCTCCCTAGATTTCCCTCTTCCTTCCTGTCCTCATTTTTAACTCTGCCTGGGTAAAACATCTTCATCCATAGGCCGTGAATTATGCTATGATGTATTTGCCTCCCACATCTGTGTCTCTAGCCCTCCAGACCTCCAGATCTCCATCAAAACTGTCTACCCAAGTATTCACAGCTGGGTTCCAATAGATGCCTCAAAAGAAGCCCATCCAAAATCAAACTTTTGCCATTCCTTCCCCAAAGCTCTTATACTTCCTGCATCCCTCTCTTCGTTATTGGTTTCATCATTCTCTCAGTCGCTTGAGCTTGGAAAATTGATGCCTATCTTTCTCCATCTTTCCTCCAGCCTTCCTATCACAGTATCACTATTAAAGTAAATTTTTAACAGCAGAAGTCAAGCATCATGTCAGTCCCCTGGTTAGACATTGTTAATCCCTCCCTCTTGTGGCATTGACTTTGATCTCCAAGTGTGGTGTTTGGGCTCTAACCAGTGTCCTTCCTTTCCATATCACTCACTTCACACACCCCAAATCTGGGGTGGCAAGCAGGTTTCATCTTGTGTGTCATCTCCAACTCCTGGAGAGTTTGACCTGAAGTTCTGTGTCCAGGGGACTCCGCAGGAAGGACTGAGGACCCTCATGTCCCTGGGGGGCATGTACAGGGAGCAGCAGCAATTTTGCTGCTATCACTGCCCTCCTTTCTAGCACCTGGGCATGCTGGTGGGCCCAAGACAAGCCCCAAGCTTTTCTGTCTCTTTGTTGCTATCATATAAGCCTCTACCTCTGAAAATCCCTTCTTCAACTTCTAAATCCAACTTATTTATCCTTCAAGGTCTGACTTAAATGACATTTCTCCCTGAACACTTCCCAAGCTTTAATGGATGGTTCCTTCCCACGATCTGAAAGTATTTTGTTGGTGCCTTTCCATCTGGCTGTACTACTGACTGTGTGTGACAGTCCCCCCTGCTGAGTCACAAGCCTCTAGAGGGTGCTATCTCTTGTTTGTGCTTCTCCTCATGCCTGTCAGAGTGCCTCGCATGGAGTAGGTGCCTAATGGCTGTTTGGACAACCCCTGGGCCTCTCAAGGCCGTAGGGTCAGAAGTCCCTCCCAAGCCACCTGAGCACTGCTCTTTCCCCTCCTCCTTGGGCCCAAGAGTGTGCACATTTTTGGGGCTGCTCAGAAGCACACCTCAAGGGGGCTCATTCAGAAGGCTTGGGGGGCTGGCCTCAGGCCCTCACATCTCAGGGAAGAGACACATCACACATCTACGTGGGACTCTTCCTGATCTGGTAACCATGGCCCCAGCTCAAGGGAACTTCAGTAAATGTGTAACTCGAGTGTGTACTGGTTCATTCTGTTCAGCAGCAAAAGTGTGTATCAATCACCCTGACTTCCTGGAAGGAGTCCCAGCATGAGAGTCGCTCTGGCGTCCATCCCCCTAGTCAGCCTAGGCTGCCTGAGGGCCCCACCCCCACGGCCCAGGCCAAGTGATGTAAGTAACCCCTTCCCCCCAAGCCTGGGCACAGATTGATCTGGGAATGGCTCCATCTCCACCCCTCAGATATAAATAGGGCCTCAGGGGCCTGGCCAGGGGAAAAGGCTGCCTTTGTCTTGGGGACTGAGCAGAAGGTAAGCTGGGAGCCCCTCTCCACACAGAACTCCTCCCCAGCTCCTTCTTCTTCCTAGTCTCTCTCAGGGTCTGAGGAGAGCAGAAAGCCGGGGGCTCTGGTGGGGGGTCAGGGAGAGCTGCTGGGAGGCAGTGGCTAAATGGCACCCAGGAGCCAGAAGCCGGAGGGGTCAGTAGTGACCTGTGCCACAGGGGACATGACTACTGAATATTCAGAAGATATCTCCCCATCCTGTCATACCAGATGTCCAGACATGGACTGTCTTTGCCCTCAGCCCACCCTGGCTCTTACCACAGGAACTTCTCCTCCTCAGCAGTAGGCAGGGTGGCCGGGTCCCCCTTGATCCCTCTGAGCAGGGCTGGGCCCTCAGGGGCAGGCACCAGAGCAGAGTCATGGTGGCCAAGAGTCTGCAGGGTCCTCTTCCAGCCAGAAGGAGCAGCAAGGCTTGGTGTATAGGCAGCAGAGCTGGGGATGAGGGGCCAGGCTCCTCCCAGAGCTGCATCCCCACAGGGCTCAGGTGAGGGGTGGCCTCTGTCTCCCAGAACCTCCCTTGAGGCAGCCATGACTCCTAGTCCTGGGCTCAAGGCACGAGTCTGTGCAATCAACCTCATCATTCTGTCTCCCTGAGCCTTGGTTTGCTCATCCATAAAATGGGACTAATAACAATCCTTGGCCCCATGCTCATGGACTATGATGTAAATTAAGAGATCAAATATAATGTGACAGTGCTTTCTAAACTTTAGGATAAACTAAAAAGGCAAATTCTTATTATTTTGTTTAAGAGGCAATATAGATTGGTGCTTCAATGTGTGGACTCTCATGTCAGGGGGTCTAGATTTGAATCCTACTTCTGTCTCTTACTAGCTGTGTGACCTTGAGCAAGTCACCGAACCTCTCTGTTCCTCTGCAAAACAGCATGAATTAATTCATGTAACAACTACTTATCAAGTGACTACTATGTCCCAGGCACATTTTTGGGTGTGGGTTCAGTGAGTGAAACAGAACAAGAACCCCGCTCTCATAGGATTAGCATTCAGATGGGAGGAGACAGGCAAAAACACCACAAGAATTAAAGAAACATATAAAGAATGGGTATGGGGTATCATAAGGTGATCAGTTCTGGTAAAAGGAAAGTGGAGCAGGACAAATGAGTTCAGAGTGCCAGGCGTGCAGGGACAGTCACAGTGTGAATGTGGTGTCAGGCAGCCTCAACAGGTGAGGGCAACTGTAAAAATTAGATGAATTGATGCAGGAGAAACACTAGAACAGGGCCCAGCAGTGATAGGCATTACCTAAGTGCTGGCTGCCATCCCCATCATTTTCATTCAGCCACGGAGCCACGAGGAGCAGGGACGCCTAGAAGGAGGGGCTAGTGAAGAGGGGGAGCAAGGAGGAGTGGAGCAGGAAGAAGTCAGAGGATAGGGCCTCATGTCCACACACTTGGAGTGCCCTCTTCTTCTCAGGACCCTGCTGCATGCTGACTTAGAACCAGCCAGGCAGCAGCAAGTGATCACAGTTGAGAGCAAACAGCAGCCTCTGTCTTGTAAATAATCCATGAAATTGCTTCACCTGCAATGGTGAAGCCTGTGCTGTGCAGGAGCCACAAAGCAGGGAGAAGCTGTGTTTGCCTCCATGGCCAAACCCAGGCCCTTCTCCTCCTCCCAGCTACTTCTGTGTGCTGTTGGCCAGGGTGAGACAGGAGCAGGATCATGGGGCTCTAGAGAGAGAAAGGTGCTGGAGATCCGTAGCCCAGCCCTAGAGACCCAGGTCTAGGGCAGACATTCCCAACCACGGCTGCACATCAGAGTCACTTGGGAAGTTTTTAAAAACTCTATACCTGGCCCCAGCACAGACCAGTGAAATCAGGCTGGGCAGGGATGATTTAGAGCTCCACAGGGTTCCACTCTACAGTAATAGTTGCTAGCTGGTTTGGGTGTTGAGACAGGTGGAAAATGCCTGGGCTTCAGGCTGAGCCCATGGTGCTTATTCCTGACTGCGTGTTAGGACTGCAAGGACACTACAAAGCCATTCCCAGGCCATGCCCAGGACCACTTAATTAGCATCTCTGGTGATGAGACCCAGGCCTTCAATTTCTAAAGCTTCCCAGGTGAGTCCAGTGCGTACCTGGGCTGAGAATGACCTGTGAGAGTAAAAGTAGGTTTGAATCACATCTGTTACCTATTTGCTGTATGAACTTAAGAACATTTCTTCACTTTTCAGGACTCCTCTTTCTGTGTCTGCAAAGAAGTGAAACAATTCCTTCCTTACATCATTAGCGTAATGATAGATGGGATAATCTATGGGGAAAGGCTTTTGTGAACCATCACTTACAATACAAACATGAGGTCTCTATTGTAAGTTACACACCTTAGCTGGGAACATAGGTGTGCATTTCCTGGGTGATAGAGCGCAGTTGGATTTTTCTCACCAGGCTGATTTATAATGTAGGGAAAACCTCTGTGTGTGTTAGTCTATTCCAAACCAGTTTACCACCTACCAGGGGCTAGGAGGCCTCCATAAAGACCTGCTGTCTGGCCCACATTTGGTTTTCTACGGAAAAACTTACAGCCATAGGCATGTGGGTGTATTAGTTTACTAGGGTGCCATAATGAGTACCCCAGACGGGGGGCTTAAACAATAGAAATCTATTTTCTCATGATTCAAGAGGCTAGAAGTCCAGATCAAGGTGTTGGCAGGGTTGGCCTCTACTGAGGCCTCTCTCCGTGGCTTGCAGATGGCTGTCTTCTCCCTGTGTCTTCACATGGTTTTCCCTCTGGGTGTGTCTGTGTCCTGATCCCCTCTTCTTATAAGGACACCTGTCAGATTAGATTAGGGCCCACCCAATGACTCCATTTAACCTAAATCACCCCTTTCAAGACTCCAGCTCCAAATACAGTCTCATTTTGAGATACTGGGGATTAGGACTTCAACATATGAAATTTTATTTTCACACAAATATTGTGATACTTTATTGTTAAAATATTCCTTTAAAAATAAGTTAAAATGTTTCCATATTACTCTTCTATTAAACATTAATTTGACTAAAGCATAATATCACAGATTAACATAAGGTAAAAATAATATCAGCCACTCATATTCTCGAAGAAAAGTGCTTGCAATATTTTGTGAAAACATTTTTCTACACTGAACATTTTCTACAATGAAAACATTGTGTCTACATTTTTATTTGATTTAATAGACAATTCTTTATTTTTCTTTAAAGTTCACAAATGCCTTAAGACATTTTCACCATTTTAAAAATTAAACAGAACCAATCCCAAAATAAAACCCTCCAAAAGCACAACTGAGTCCATAGCCATGCATTTGCACCTGGATCATGGAGCTCTTTCCCATGGATCTTTGAATCCATTTCTTCTCTTTGAAGTTTGTAGACATGGGTGGATTTCTCCTGGGCTAAATTGTTGCAGGAAATATTGTAACAAGTAAAAGTCTGGCTAGAGGGCACTTAATAATCACCTTTCACCCTTCACAAGATATTTCAGGGTACACAGAAGCCAGTGCCCCCATCAGAGATGGCTGCTGCTGGTGTGAGCCTGAGGGCCACCATCCTCTGTCTCTTGGCCTGGGCTGGCCTGGCCCTTGGTGACCGGGTGTACATACACCCCTTCCACCTCCTCGTCTACAGCAAGAGCAGCTGTGACCAGCTGGAGAAGTCCAATGCAGAGACACCCAAAGACTCGACCTTCACACCTGTCCCAATTCAGGCCAAGATGTCCCCTGTGGATGAGGAGGCCCTGCAAGAACAGCAGGTGCTCACTGCCAAGAAGCTGGAGGCTGAAGACAGAATGAGGGCTGCGGAGGTGGGGATGCTGCTCAACTTCATGGGCTTCCGCATGTATAAGATGCTGAGCGAGATGTGCAGCACAGCCAGCTCCGCCATCCTCTCCCCAACAACTCTCTTTGGCACCCTGGCCTCTTTCTACCTGGGAGCCCTGGACCCCACGGCCAACAGACTACAGGCGTTCCTGGGTGTCCCTGGGGAAGATCAGGGCTGCACCTCCCGGCTGGATGGTCACAAGGTCCTCTCTGCTCTGCAGACCATCCAGGGCCTTCTAGTCACCCAGGGTGGGGCTAATGGCCAAGCCAGGCTGCTCCTATCCACAGTGGTGGGCCTGTTCACAGCCCCAACCCTGCACCTAAAGCAGCCATTTGTGCAGGGCCTGGCTCCCTTTGCCCCCATCACCCTCCCACGCTCTCTAGACTTATCCACAGACCCAGATCTCGCTGCTGAGAAGATCAACAGGTTCATAGAGGCTGTAACAGGGTGGAAAATGAACAGACCCCTGACGGGAGGCAGCCCAGACAGCACGCTACTCTTCAATGCCTATGTCCACTTCCAAGGTAAGGAAAACCCATCGGGTGGGCTCTATCCCCAGGCGGGTGCCAAATGGTGGCAGTTCTATCTCTATGGTCTCAATGTCCCATGTTCCAGCTGAGGTGGGCTGGGCTGGGCCTTGGAGATGGGAAGGGTGATGGGCACAAGGAAGTACCTGGAGACCACCCTCAAGGACAAAAGTGGCTGTTCCACTTGGCTCCTTGGATGAGCGTTGGTTGAGCAGCTGCCCCCACTATGCACAGCTACTACACTGCATTCTTTTACTCTCATTATTTAATCCCCTTGGAATATGGTGAAGAGATATCACTGCCTCTGTTTACCGATGAAGAAACAGAGACAGAGAAACAGAGTGACATGTTCCAGATGGTGCAGCCACAAGCAGAGGTCCTGGGATCCAAACCCACATTTCCTGGCCCCACAGTCCACCTCCATGTTCAGAAGGGATGGGTTCCTGTCCCATGCAAAAATAACCAATTTGTTTACTTAAGTCACTTTCATGTTGGGAGAAGTTATTACCAAAAAATCCCTACTACACAGATCGTTCATTCATTCAACAAATAATTGTTGAGGATTAATAAATCAAGACTTTTAGCTGAGCATCTCAGAAAGCCCAAGTTGGAAGGCTGCACAGGCACTGACCCTGAGCTGCTTGTTAAAATTCATTGGGAGAGATAGATCCCACAAGCAAACACCTTGGTTACAAAGCTGCAGGTGGCAGTGTCTAGGAAGGGACTCTGGGCTCAGAGCACTCAAAGGAGGGAGCGGAGTAAAGGCCTCAGGGAGGTGAGGGGAGTAGGGCTACAGTGAAGGGGAGGAGCAGACAGGTGAGCAAAAGCTGCCAAGTTCAGGGCCGGGAATCAGAACAAGAGCATCTTTGCTTATCCAGAGCTTAGAATGAGAGAACAGCACCTGGGGAGGGCAGGGCTGGAAAGATGAGTTGGGCCAGATTTTGAGACTTTGAATGTGATGCTGAGAAGTTTGGGGCTCATTGGTGGGTAGGTATTTGAATGGGCAGGCATTCTGCTCAGAGGTCATCCCAGTGGCCTGTGTTGTGTGCATTGGAGGCGGGGAGGGTCGTTGGAAAGTTATGCAATAGTCCAGGCAAACTCTCTCGAGAGCACGCGCTAAGCCAGTGGTTCTGAGAATTGATGGGTGGGTTGGGGAGGGGTGTGTTTGAGGGATATTGATGAGGTTCTAGAGAATTCATGGGGGACAGAGAGCCAAGTAAGCAAGCAGTTGAAAGATAGAACTGTGGTGATGGAGACAGGTTTAAATAGAGCATGGTCATTTTCTTCCTTGGGTAATATCCTGGAAGTCTATAAAACCACAAAGGAAAGGATCTCCAGCCTGCTGGTGGTACAGGAGGACAATGACAGACCCAACATTGCTCAGATCCCAGCACTGACAGGACATGAGAGCAGAGTCCAGCACAGGGGCAATCCAGCTGATGGTTGCTGCACCCCATGGAGGGCAGAGGGGGCCTCTGGGCCTGGCCTGCTGTCCCTAAGGAGAGCCCCAGAAGGAGTGCTCACTGAGAAAGTCCTGCAAAAGGCAGAGCCAGAGAGCTGCTGGTGTCAGAAATGGGGCCTCACTTCAGAAATCACGTGGCCTCATGATTCACACTATAGAGCCAGACAAGAAGAGGAGAAAGGAAGGAGGAGGAGATGTAGAAAAATGCAAACCATGCTGAGGATGCAGAAATCTTGGATGCTCGCTCAGCCCCGCCACTTCCCAGCCCTCTGATCTTGCTTCCTAACCTTCCTTGCCTCAGTTTCCATCCTATGGAGAGGCACACCCTCTTCCTGCCCACCACAGTGTGTCTATTTATGAGAGGAGCAGGCTATGTCAGAAGTGCTAAGTCCCCTTTAGTATAATAGTCCATTAGATGACCTCAGCACACAGTTGGATGTTTCTAACTAGTGAAGATTCTGGGATTTGGCAGCGAGGAGCTCCAGGGCGCCCTTTGACCGGCACTTGCTGTCACCCCGAGCTGGGTGCTGGCCCTGGCAGGTTCCACAGCACCAGTTGACTTAACCTTGAGAGATTTACTTAACCTCTGGGTGAGGATGGTGCTCTGCACTTTTCAGATGAGCAGAGAGGACAGGGCAGCCACCCTTGTTTCAGTTTCCCACGTCTTTTGGGAGGCAGCATACTTTTTTTGTTTTCGTTTGTTGGTGGAAAAGAATTTAGTCCTTTTTTCTCCCTAAACTAACAAACCTCTTCCAGGTTTTCTGGGCCAGCACTGAGGTCCCTGTGGGGAGCCTGTCAGGAAGGACACTGCAGCTTCTTGCTGGCACTTCCTTTCAGGAGCTAATCTTGTCAATGACAAAAGATCTCTGAGTACAAAGGGCATGGAAGACACTGGATCTGCCACTCCCTTCTCACAAGATCCAGACCCTGGGAAGGAAAAGCCAGTCCAGCTCCCTCCCTCCAGGATCCTGTCCTTCCAGCTGTCCACCCCCTTTCACTTTGGAGACCTCTGATTCAGTAGAAAGGGACCTCTGACTCTTTTTAAGCTGCCTCTACTCAGAATCCCAAGAGCCAAGTGCCAGGGGCTCATCCTCAACTTTACCTTATTCTCCCAGAAACAATCATAAGATGGGCCTTTCAAGGTGAGTGGGAGGATCACAGAGGGAGAGGATGTGCCAGTGTGGCCCTCAGGATAGAGATTTGGCTGCTGTCATGGGGAGACCCCAAGTGACACTGCCTTCAACAAGAGTTTGCTTACTTCTCCCCAACAGCTGAGCCAACTGGCAGCTCAGCTCTGCAACTGTCGGCCACAGCCAGCTGGTGGGAGGGGATGGAGAGGGTGCCCCTCCCCTCAAAGCCCAGCACGGAGGTCACACATAGCACTTCCGCCCAAATCCACTGGTTACAACTAGGTCAAATATCTGTCCCTAGCAGCAAGGGGTCCTGAGAAATGTAGCCTTCACTCCAGGAGGTATGTGCCCAGCCCTTCCTACTCTGACTGAGAAAGGGAGGATGGAGACTGGGGGACAGCCAGCAGGCTCTATCACAGCTGGCTCTAGATGCAGATTAAAAAGTGACCATGCACCAAAGATCTTTAAAGGAGTGAAACTCTTCTGTGTGATACGATAATAGTGAATACATGTCGTTGTACATTTGTCCAAACCCACAGAATGTACAACACCAGAGTGAATCCTAATGTAAACTATGAGCTCTGGGTGATAATGATGTGTCGTTGCAGGTGCATCAATTGGAACAAATGCACCAACTGGCTGGGATGTTGATAGTGGGGGAGGCTGTGCGTGTGTAGGGGTAGCAGGTATATGGGAACTCTCTGCACCTTCCTCTTAATTTTGCTGTGAACCTAAAACTGCTCTAAAAAATAAAGTTTATTTTTTTAAAAAAAGTGAGCATAGCCAACCAGGACATGGCTTTGGACCAGGACAGATCTGGGGTGAGTTCACCAGGTCACTTTCTAATGGGGTAGGGTCCTGAAGCTCTCTGATTTCCTTCATGGGCTTTAAGTGAGGTGACAGGTCTAAAATCTCAGGTTGCTGCCTGGCATGTATTATGTCCTCAACACTGGCTGTTACTATTACTTTGTGAACTCAAAATGGCTGGATTTTGCAGGAGAAAGACTTGCCCGGCCCTCAGGGTCCTGTGGCTGGTTAAGTGCTGAGGCTGGGAAAATGCAAGGCAGCCTGGGTTGTGCTGGGAGGAGGGCAGGGCAGGAGTGAGGGCTTTTGGGGGGGCTGGTCTGCCCTCTGCTCAGCAAGCATCCCCAGCCCTGTGCCCGCTGCCTGCCCAGCCCCAGCTGACTCTTCCTTCCCTGTCTCCTGTCTGGGTCTCCAGGAAAGGTGAAGGGATTCTCCCTGCTGCCTGGACTCCAGGAGTTCTGGGTGGACAACACCACCTCAGTATTGGTCCCCATGCTCTCAGGCATGGGTACCTTCCAGCACTGGAGGGATGCCCAGAACAACCTTTCCATGACCCGTGTGCCCCTCAGCGAGAACGCCTGTCTGCTGCTGATCCAGCCCCACTGCTCCTCAGATCTGTGCAAGGTCGAGGCCCTCACCTTCCAGCACGACTTCCTGATGCGGATGAAGAATCTCTCTCCCCGGTATGTCTCCCAGGAAACCCTCAGAACCTGCAGGGCTGCTTCCCCTGGAAAGTGGGGAGCTCTGCCAATCCTTCTGCCTAGAGTGGGAGGGGGCATGGATGGACGCATGTGCCTGTATAGGCTCAGCCCTGGACACGAGCAGGGAAGGGCCATGGTGGCTCCAGCAAGGCAAGTGGCCCTGCTGTTCTGGAGCAGAAGGCCTGTTCATCCATCCCACCATCTCTCTATCCATCTAGCTCTCTTTCTGAGTGCAGGAGAGGTAAAGTAAAGGAGGAAGAATGCTTTCCTTGTGCTTACCCACCCATTTTGGAGGTCAGAGCACATCAAGACGCCCTCTAGAGGGGGGCCTTTATGACCCCACACCCACGCATGCACAATCTGCTACATTCCAAGAGCTTCTTGGGTCTGACTTCCCAGGAGGGTATGCACCCCTCTAAGAGACTTGGGGCCAGACTTTCTCGGGGAGCTGCCCTGGACTCCAGAATTCCCCTGGTTTGCTGGCAGGTTTGTTTGCTCCTATTCCCTGCACAGGGACACTAGACCTGGCCTACAAACCAGGCCTCAAGCAGCAGGGTCCAGAAATCTGCCCTGAGACAGGCACTGAGGGGCACAAATCGCCTCCTGAAGTCAACTCTTTTTTAAGTCAATTTTTAAAAAATGTTGTAAACATGTAACATAAAACTTACCATTTAAACCATTTTTAAGTGTACAACTCTGTGGCATTAATAACGTTCACATTGTTGTACAACTAGCACCACCATCCTTCTCCAGAACCTTTTCATCTTCCCCAACTGAAACTCTGTCCCCATTGTACAGTAACTTCCCATTTCCTCCTCCTCTGAGACCCTGGTAATTCCCATTCTACTTTCTGTCTTTATGAGGGAGGCACACATCTCCTTCTTCAAGGACACATGCCATCTGGCTTGCTAGGTCTTTGGCAAGTCTTCTCCATTTGGCCCAGGGCCTCACACTGGGAACCACCTTCCTAACTGTGCCTCATCTCCCCAGGCCCATCCACCTGACCGTGCCTCAGCTGGTGCTGCGAGGGTCCTATGACCTGCAGGACCTGCTCACCCAGGCCAAGCTGCCCACCCTGCTGGGTGCCGAGGCAAACTTGGGCAAAATCAGTGATGCCAATCTCAGAGTTGGAAAGGTACTGTGCAGCCACGTCTATCTGTGCCTGACTTGGGTCCTGTCTGTTCACAGGTGGGATGTGTAATGGGAGGGACACTTTGGGTGTGGCAGTGTAGGAGGAAGAGGAGAGCATGGCAAGGTGGGTGTATGCCCAGAGTGGGAGAGAAGTTACCAGAGCTTTCTGGGGCTTTCCAGGCATAGGTGGAGAGCAGTAAATCCCTCCCCACCTTGTGTTCCCTGGCTCTGCCCAGCCTGGCCTAGCCTCGAGGTCCCTCTCAGATCCTGCAGCAGGATTGGGACTTGGGTCTTGAGAGTATGTGCCCCCAGGCCCAGTGCTGGCCCTGTCAGACATCTCCTTGCTGTAGGAAAACACTGAGCAGTAGGCAGACTGTTCACCTGCCACCTGGAATGGTGTATCTCTGCAACTGAGAAGGTGCTTCGAGGCTCTGGGAACTATGCTAGGTACTGGGGAGAAAAGTCTTCACTCACAGTCGTGGCCTCAGAGATCACTGTTGGGGGAGGAATGAGCCCTCTGTGTTAAATTAGTGGAATGAACCAACCACTGGTAGGCCACAGTGGAGGGGCCAGGGGTTCTGCCCCAGACAGCGAGGTGGAAGATGGGGACAGGCAGGTTTGAGGGACATCTTAGAGAGGGGCCATCATGTGAGAGTCGTCTACACTGAGGGGCATGCATGCACCATGTGTTGTCCTGGTAGGCTGGAGAAAAGTCCTCCTGTGGGTGGCACTGCACAGCTGTCCTGTGCCCTCCCTGGGCCCCGCAAGCCTCCAGGAGCCATCCCAATGCTTGCTGCTTTGCAGGTGCTGAATAGCGTTCTTTTTGAACTAAAAGCAGCAGAAGAAGAGCAGCCCATACAGTCTGCCCAGCAGTCAGAGGTCTTGGAGGTGACCCTGAACCACCCATTCCTGTTTGCTGTCTATGAACGAGACTCAACTGCCCTCCACTTCCTGGGCCGTGTCACCAACCCGCTGAGCACAGTGTGAGGCCCGGCTGCCACGGAGATGCAGCTGTCACTGTGCGCAAGGGCAGCAGCGCACGGCAACACTAATTTGTCACCACCAGTCTTCTACTTTTTCTTCCAATGAGTTAGCTTGGAGCTGGAAAGAAGCCATTTGTCCTTGGTAAATGTGGCACTGTGTATAATGAGCAGTAGAAACTGCAGGAAGAAGCAGGCCTCCCAGGTTCTTAGGTTTATCTTGGGGAATGTGGTGGGGAGCCAAGGGCCAAATGTTTAGCACAGGATGACTGTTCTGGAAAGAGTTTGCACAGACCAATATGTTTGTGAAACCAAACATTGTTTTCTTTTTAATTGGGAACAGAAATTGGACTTTAAAATTAAAACAGATTTTTCTTTGTCTTGGGTTTATATTTAGCTTATTGAATGTGAGCCTATGACCTGCATGCAGTCTCCACAATGCCTTAGTTTTTCTTGGTTTCTCAGTTTTTCTTTCCCATGATACTTGTAATTTTTGAAAAACACAAGCTTCTTGAATGTATGTTAGAATGTAATATCATGGCTAATTTTCCCTTGTGTTATTAATAAATGTTTTGCAAGAATAAGCAAAAAGGAAAAATTCTTTCACTTAGTGGAATAAATATGCCATTTAGCTGACAGGCCATATCAATAAAAGTGATTTCTAAGACTCTGAGCCATATTTTGGATGGCATTTCCATGGAATGTGTGGGCTGGTACTCAGCCATCATTTGGAGAAGTTTTAAGTGATTTTTCTGTGGACACTTCCATTTCTAAGCAGCAGTGACTGACTGTGTGATGATCAGGTGGGTGTGTGAGGAGGCCCTGCACCCCACACACAGGTAGAAAGGAACAGGGCACATGGACACTTCTTCCTTTCCAGGGACACAGGGTCAAATTGCTGCTTGCATTCTGCGCGGGGAGCAGCAGATAGAGAAACAAATCTTCACAAATGAACATTTTGTCGCTGCAAATAATCCATAACCCATCTATGAGTGAAAATTGGGGTGAGTTTATTGGGTCAAAATGTGAGGACCATATAGCCCAGGGCCTTCCTTCTCCAAGGAAGGAAGGGCACCAAAGAAGTGGGGTGTATAGAGTGCTTATATATCCTCAAACAGCGTGTTTCACATGATTGAAATTTCCCTTTTACAACAGTCACAAGACTGCTCTGTTGGCACAGTGATTGATGGACATAGCAGGTAGCAGGTCCGCTGTCTCGAGCTGGGTAGTCACAGGTGAGCACACCAATCAGTTCCTAGCCTAGGGAAAGATGCTTATCCCTAACAAAATGCCAATGTGGGGGAAGTTGCACCTTTATCTTGAGGCCATTTGTTCTTGTCTTTGGGACATAGCAAAGGCTTAAAGCAGATATACAATGCATGCTCAACGGCCCTGTAAGGCCCTTTTGAAAAAACAGTCAAGCCAAATTAGGTTTATACCAAATGGCTCCCTCATATACTCCAATATCCTATTTCTTGCCATTTATTTGTCCATTTGCACATTTCTTTCTATCCATTGAGTGCTTCTGCCTGTTCCCCCTTGGTGGGATTAGATCTCCACCTTCTAAACTTTGGGCAAAGCCTGAGGAGGAGGTAGGTACTGGTAGGCCCCATTGCTTGCTGATAACAGTGAAGATGCTTGCTGATGTACATAAAGCACTTTCTCTTCCTCATTTTCAGAAATATTGAAATAACCGTAATATTAATAACTGTATGTAATATGGTAGCTATTGATAAGAGCTCAGTAGCATGCCACAACAGGGAAGGGAGCTAGGAAGCATCAAGGAGTGGGAGTGGGGATGGATGGCTTCAAAGTTGACCAAGTTCTTTCCTGTATGAGGTTTCATTGGTGTAAGCAGAAGTGTCTGTATTCTGCTTGTAGGAGAACTGCCCTGGCCACTGGTGCCCAGGCCTCACTCTCCCCTCTACTGGGCCATCCTCATCACACTCCAAGGGGCTGCAGCTAACCAGACTGTGCTGAGGACAGGGAGTGGGATCTTCTCTCACTGAGGCCCAGGACTGCACAGAAAAGCAATGACATCCTCCAAATCTCAGTTCCTTTCCCCACATTCCCAAGCACCCCTCTCTCATCTGGAATGCATCTCCCTAGGTTCAATGTCAAGGGGAACACGTAGTCCCTCCCACCTCTGTGGCTGCACCAGGCACATGAGAGGCAGCACAATGGGTGGGTAGGAGGGTGGCTTCTGGAGATGGACAGGCTGGGCAGGAAGCCCAGCTCCAATACTTACCACTGTGTGACCTGTAGCCTCCTTTCCCTTATGTGTAAAATGGGAAGTGCTTGAATAAATTAATAATAAACACCATTATGTCAGTGGCACTCAGTCCATAAAAAGTTCATGACCTCCACCCCATCTTGAAGTTCTGTTCCACAACAGTGCAGCAGGAATGGAGGTATCTTACCTGTGGGCAACTATAGTGGGCTGAGTAATGGCCCCCAAAATACCCAGGTGGTCTTAGATGTCAAAGCGGGCTTTGCAGCTGTGATCAAATGTCTTGAGAGAGGAGGTGACCCTGGATTATCTTGGTGGGCCCTCAACGCAGTCGCATGCATCCTTATGAGAGGGAGGCAGACTGGGAGAGCAAGGACGAGAAAGGTGATGTCATATTGAAAATAGGGGGAGAAAGGGCAATGTGGCTAGGACCACAGGCCAAGGAATGAGGCCAGCCCGCAGAAGGTGGAAAAGGTAAAGAAAACACCCTCCCCTGGACCCTCCAGAAAAGGCATTGCTTGAGAAACCTTCATTTCGGGCTAGTGAAATCTATTTTTGACTTCTGGCCTTAGAACTGTAAGAGAATAAATTTGTGTTTTTAGCCATTAAGTTTGTGGTAATTTGTTACAGCTGCAAAAGGAAAGTCATACAGCAACCTTGACATGCACCCTCAGATACATCTCCTAATGGCATCTTTGGGGGTCCTTCAAAGGCTGCTCCCCTCACCTTCCAGGCTCTTCTGAAACGACTTCCCTTTGGTGTCTTCTTCAGGAGCCAGTGGTTCGCCTTATCCATTAAAGAGGATCCTTGACCATCGAAGAGCTGGGCTGGCGCTTGGGGAGCAGAGGGGATGAAATGTCCCAGGGGAGGTTTCCGGGAAGGGTCTCAAGTTTGCAGCCCTCTTGGGATACAGGCCGCACCCATCCCTGCCTTTAAAGCTGAAGATGCAGTTGTCTGCTGGAGATCCTTTCAGTTTGCAGTAACCTTCCTCTCCCTTCCTCCCTCCCCCTTTCTCCAAATAGCCTTGCTTTCTGGGCGGCACACGAAGCCCCCAGGAACATGTCACATGGATACGGATGGATGCTTTCCAACTCTAATCTATTTGGCCTGTCGCCTCCTTCTAGAGAGCAAATGAGCTTGAGTAAGGGGTGCACATTCCTCATAAACCCCCGACCTCACAGGACTGCAGCCCGAGAGATAGCTCCTGATGTGATAAATACAGCACCGCACCTGCGCTTTGCTCTGTTACTCTGCAGAGGCTGAAGTCCAGGCATTCACTCCCCATAGCAGCGTGTTAGTGAATTGTAAGTGCTGACCAGTTTGTGCTGTTCACAGGCTATGGGGACTCTGCCCACTGTAGCCATCCCTGGAGCCCCTTCATCACACTTCACCATCACCAGTTTGACTTGGGCTCACCTTTCACCTCTCAGCACTCCCTGCTTTCTCCTACCCGCAGAGGGCATTGTTGGGTAGACGCTGGGGCAGCTCTGCTCTCCAGTTTGGTCTTTTGGAAATGGCTTCTTGAGGCCAACCCTCTTGGGAGAACTGGAAGTTCAGGGAGCAGAAGTGCTTTGAAGTTTCACTACTCAGTGTGGCCCCTGAGCCTGCAGCAGCAGCAGCAGCAGCCCCAGAGGGATATTAGAAACATGGGACCTCATGCTTCCCCCAGATCTCCTGAGTCAGAACCTGCACACTAGAATGTAGGAAGCGCTGCTTTAAATGGTGCACAGAATTTCTGCTCCCAGCACAGGCTTCTAGAAGAGGCTGTGGCCACAACCAGCCAAACTCCACTCCTTGAATTTACACTCTTAGGAGGATGACACATCTTCAGATCAGAACTGCAATGGTGGCAGTTTCTTCTGTAATCCTTAAAACAGCTGCAAACAGAGAATGGTGTAAATGTGTTTTGGATTACTGGATTCAGAGCTGCTCCTCCACCTCTCACCCCCGCCCCCACATATACCTACCTTCTTGTGACAAATATTGGTGAGAAGCCAACAGAGTGCCTGGCTGTGTGCTGGGTAGGTGAACCCAGGAGGGAGCTGAGTCACCACTGGCGACGTCATCCTGAATTGTAAACTAGAATTTTGAAGTCACAGATAACCTGAGACAGTTGACACACTGCAGCTAGAAGAGCAGAGCATTTGTGTTGTTAATTTTGTTTTAAAAAGCAACTGGTGGTAAACTAGTGGATTTCTCCTAGTTCGCAGGCTGCTTCGGCTTTGGCAGTTGCTAGGAGAATTTTGCCAGCTGACTGCTGTGCTCTGTTCTCGGGCTCTTTTATAAATGGGAAGCTGTGGCAGGACATTACAAGGATACAAAATGCCAACATTTTGCACATTACTTACAAAAATATTAACTTTAGGGATCTGTTTCTTTTAAGCATTTCTTCACTAAATTCTAAATCTTCCTGGGGTTGCAAAATGCTTATCCAGTAGACAAGGTAATTATTCAGCAACTATAATCACCTCCCACCCGAGATTTGGTCACAGACCCAGGGATGCTTCCCATGGCTCACTGAGGAAATTCGCCAGATCCCAACTCTTTTAATAAGTTTAGAAAACCGAAAGATTTGTTTGTTACTCATTTGGCAGCAAAATCCATCCTAAACAGACATGAGGCTGTTTAAGATCTCTGCATTATAGAAGTTTATAGTGTGAATAGTCCTAAGTTTGCTGCACAGAGATGTATGTGTTTGATTACCACGTGCTCTTCCAGGGCCCGGGGGAGGCCACATGATACACAAGATGGAAGCCACATTACCCTTCTAAAATCTGAAAAATTATGGTCACTGAGACATGTACTGAAGGTTTTGGACAGTAGATTGTGGATTTGAATATCATCCCATGTGATTATTTTTTTCCTAATAGACAATTTTTTTTAAAGCAGTTTTAG